CAAAAGGAGCAGATCATCAGCAGCACCATCGTGTACACTCCCACATCGATGAGCAGTAATCAAGTCTCAGCCAGCCAGCAACCTCGGCCTCTACAGGGATACCACACGCAGGTAGCGACCGCTCCAGCCTGGTTACCTCTACGGCCTCAACAGCGTCTAGGCACAGCACACTGCACCTACGGTCCACGTAAGAAGAGCATTTTCTCTCCCGTCTACGCAGCAGCCAGCCACTACGCAGCAACCGCCCCGACTCACTGGGGTCTTCACCGCAGCACCGCGCACCGCACGCCATCCCGACTCACTGGGATCAGCGGACTTCAGCCCCGACTCACTGGGGCTAGCGGCACTCAGTTCCGACCCACTGGAACTAGCGGCACTCAGTTCCGACTCACTGGAACTACTCACTACTGGCACTGGCACGCTCCACAACAGGGCATAGACAGCTGACTCACATATATCGACCTCCGGTCTTGGAGGGGAGTGATGTGGCGACTCCCACATACAAAAAACAGAAACATACTACAACGCCATCTAATGAAGACACACCGAACTACGGAGTAACTACTTAAATAAGAATTGCTAATCCTGTATCGCGATATAAAGAATTCCCTCGCCGGTTAGCATATATACAACTTCCCAACATCAACCGTTGGGCCGCGGCCCGCCAGGCATGATCACCTCGCCTGGTCGGAGGATCCTCCCTTTGTGTTGGAGGGACATGACACCCGTTCCTCCACACTACGTTTCAGAATACGAAACGTCGTTTGTGAGGACTAAACAGGACACACAACGAGAAATCACTAAACATTTTTTTTTGTAATTTCTAGTTTATTTTAGAGAGTTTTCGAACATCAGAATTACTCGTAGCACCAATGTGTCCACCTATTCACATACGAACATTCAGCTAAAGCGTTTGTTTATAGCTAAGCTTGCGAGTTATTTCTTTAAGACAAACACAATATGCACTGTGAATGATTGTACATACATAACTTACACTTACACAATGTTAGCAATTTGTACAAACCAGGATATTTGTATAGGTGGAAGGAAAAAAAAACAGTCGTTCGTTCCCTGGCATCTAACGGGCCTGTTGGCATAGTGGCTAACTATCTCAACTGCTAAGCCAGAGATCGTAGGTACAATTCCCACCCAGGACAAATAATTGTGTCATGAGCACGAATATTTGATTTGTGTCGGGGTGTAATTTATTTATATTTAATTTAGAAATATTTAAGTATTTTTATCAGCTGTCTGGATACCATAGTTGTCTCTGCCTAGTTTAGGATCAGACTGCCGTGTGAGAGATGTGTCAAGTAATTATTATTATTATTTCTGTGAGCCCTAGAAAATCGTTTCACGCATTACGGTGTACAAAATAGTTTAATCAGAATATGGTCGCTACGTCAAGTCTTATTTTTTCATGACAAATAAGGGTTTACTGTAATTGAAAATAAAACAGTTAAAACGTATGTAAAGCTTTTTGTCTATATTTCTTATATTAATACGTAAAACTCTTTGTACGCTTTTTAAAACGAATATACAGAAGCGCTTTATAAATAGTACCTACTTAAAGTTTCCATGTAGAAGAAGTGTACAAAGCTAACATTTTTAAAAATTATGTTAAAACATTTACACTTATCTGTGGAACAAGTTATCGTCTGCGGTATTTCCGGATCGATACGACCTTCAAACCTTCAAGAATCTTTTCCTACTTCTTTTGTAAAAGGCCTGCAACACGTTTATGACTCCTGACTTACAGGCGTTCATGGGTGGAGTTAGTCACTTAACACTTTCCATCAGTTGACCCGTCTGCTCCTCTGCCTCCTTTTCCATTTTTTTTATTAATACATACAGCTATATGAGTTTAAAATATATTTTGACCTACCACGGACTCTGGCGTACACGTAAAAAGTCCATGCAATGACAATTCAAGTTCTACGTACTGGTCAACAAAATACTACAAGATCGTATTCTAGAAATGCAACGATGTTAATAAATACCTGTGTAACTTTTAAGCCTCTGCCCGGTTCAAGTCTTTAAAAAGCCTGTTTGTTTATTTATTAGAATTAGTTTCTAGAAGTCTTATTTAAAGTAGGATTGAATTTGAGCAGCATATAAATAAGTTACTTAATGCAACTACTCAGGCATAGATAACATAATTTCTGGTAATAAACTCACTGTTGAACGCGAATTCTTATTCAACTCCAAGTAAATCATAGAACATTCTATTCTAACCGCTAAAACGGGTTTCTGACCTTTCTGTTTTGTATAAAATCATTTGTCTCGATTCAATATTTCCCAAAAAAAAACACAACTGTTCAAATCGTGCTGAACTATATTTAAATAAAAGAGCTGTTTTTATATTAGTACTCTAAATTTAGTACGTAGATATAACTAGACTAGCTAACCCGCGCAACTTTGTCTTAAAAGGCATAAATTTACCCCGATTTGGTAACCTTTTTTCAAACAACCGAACATACTCTTCTACTTTATAATATTAGTATAGATTAGCTGGAAATCGTGCTGTTTATGATCACGCTACAACCCTTAGAGGCGGAGTAACAATAAACGCGGGTAAAACTAATTTCAAACGTTTAGTCTCGAACAAAAAGTGTATTCTCGTACCACACAATTATAGCCGTTTAAACCTAGTTTTAATGGTAAAGCGTACGTACAGACCTAAAGCATGAATTCTCTTAAGTGCGCCCTCTAACGCATTCCTGTCTTTAATAGCTAGCATTACATGCAGCAATAAATGGTATCTAAAGAATACTTTAAATACATTGTTGCTGCATAATTTTGTTACATACAGCCCCACACAATACGATTACATTTAATTTTATGTTTCATATAGCAAATTATTATTGTAAGCAAACCTTTCTGAGCGTAAAACATGAAGAAGAATTTTTTGAATGTGTTACGAGTATCTCTTTCCTCTTATTTTCCTGCAATTTTTGGGAATGTTATCTTGGAAAAAACGAAAGTTTGTAACACGAAGCGGGGATTTAAATCCGTATGGTAACGGTTTAAGAATACGAAGTATTTCGGCCACAGTGCCTGTTTATTATTGGGTTTTTGAGTTTTATTTATGTGCAAATAGGTAAAAGTCATTTAGGGAACAATTTTGACGGGCCTATTGGCCTAGTGGTTAATGATCTTGACTGCTAAGCCGCAGATCGTGGGTTCGATTTCCACCTAGGTAAATAATTGAGTGATGAGCACGATGATTTGTTCTGTGTCTGGGTGCAATATATCTGAACTCCGCCGTCTCCTTCTGCGAGCAGGTTATGCTTGCGAAGGAGATGGCGGAGCGAGACCGGGAGGATGTTCAGAACCCTCCCGGCTCGCCAGGCCCGAGAACGGGCCAGGTACCGCAGACGGCTCGGGCGCCGGAGGTCGCGGAGCGACCACCGTCCTCCATAAGCGCAGGCCTGAGGACCGGGGTGGGTAATGGCGTACGCTCCGTAGCAGGAATGGAACATCCGGGTTCCCACACAGGAGGGGTCATCTATAAGCCATAGATGGCCCGAGGTACGTCGGGTACTAGGGCTTTCCTTTCTAGGGTATACCTGGTTCCCCGGCTACTGGTAACTGGATTTGCGTGCGGTTTTGGGTCGGTTCGAGTCTGACATAATCACCCACTGGTGGGTGGTATCCGAGGGGAGTTCCGCACAGAAAAAAAGAAAAAAAAGGGTGTAATATATCTATACTCTGTATGTATTTAGAAATATATAGGTTTTTTTTCATGGTGTTTGAGAGGAGGAAATCTTCAAAAGACACCTGTCAAGATGTTAAAGACCGGTAGTGTGGGATTCTTACCCACTAAAAACCTCCTCTCTCTTGTGAGGTCAGGATCGAACCCACGATCCCTTGATCGCAAGTCCAATGCCTTAACATCTAGGCTACCGCCGCTGCTATAAATTTCGGTTGCTAGTAAACCTTTAAAAAAAAAGTTGTGTCATTAACGATCACTGATGTGATGTAAAGAAGACAACTCCAGTTGTTTTGTCTTACCTTTTAACGAGTGTTTTTGTGATATTGTTTATTTTTTTAAACGCGCTAATCACTGAAGCTATAGCCACTATACTATCTATTGAAAAACTATTTACTGAATAATTATTTTCGTAAAACTATCCATTGAATAATTATTGTTTTATTGTATCGTGTTATAATAAAAAGTATTATTACTATTAGGTATAACTAGGTTACATAAATATTAATTTCCGTACGTTAGTAACAATTATACGCTGACGACAGGGTGAAAAATACCTTCGGATGTCTATCTACTTAGTTCATTATCTCTGATGTATCTATGAAAAGAAAACATAAAGTTAGTGTAAAATGGATTTTAGTTCCGTTTAAGAATTCTATAAATAATTACACTACAAAATGGATGTTTATTCAGGGCTAGACCTAAAGCTTCTCAAATAACACTTTTACTTACCTCAAAGCTCTTAGTAATTTCAAAGTAAATAATACCCGACTACCATTCCTAAGTTATTTGTTTTTAAGATATCAGACAACGACGAGGTAATATGGCTTCATGGTTTTGCTATATTTGACTCTGCAAGTTTTATCTTTGAAGACAGTAAACAATTTGCATGACGGCGCGGCGCACGTATATATATTTTGCGCAGAGATATTTTGTTTAAGGAGAAGGATATTTCTATTTATAAATTTAATGTTGATGAAGTACTTACTATTCGAAGGGATTGTAATAAACTAAACTTAACTTACATTTTATTGTTTTCCACTTACGTTCCTTAAATACCTTAAGTATTTATTAGGAGGTAATAAAAAGAAAACAAATGGCTTTTACGGTTGCGTTTAAGATTGTAAGTAATAGGTCAAGTTTACATACCTGTACTTACCACGAACTAGCTGTCGACGGGACTCTAAAAGCCCATTTATATCCACTCATTGAGTTCAAATATTTATATACTCATATGTAAAACGAAAATTGTTAACACTACTACAATAGTATATCTTTCTTGTTACAGATCGTCAGTGCTTCTTTTGACTATCGCTGCTACTTTCGCGGCTCCATCGCCAGCGTCCAGCGCAAATACAGACAATGACCTCGAAAAAAAAGAACCCACAACACACGAACTACTCAGCTCCCTTGGCCTCAAGAAGCTCAGGATACCAGCCGCTCACCACAGAAAAAGACTAGCAGAACAGGGGCGGAGACACGCCACCGGCGATTCAAGAATGTACGTGATTAAACTTCCCCCTAACACAAGTTATTATAGCCATGCGGAGCCTGCGCCAGCTGCAGCACGGACTTTACCACTCCAAATGACCAGTAATGGAAAACCTGCTCGAGTCTACCACTGGAACATTCCGGTTCTGCAAAAGTTTGCCAAAAATCGTCCCCAGGCGAGATTAGACGATGATATGGTCAATGTGGAAAGCACACCGACTTGGCCGAAGGCGATTAATCATCCGAATTCATTAGATGCTTTAGCATACTACGTACCAGCTAAGAAGACGTCCTTCAGAAAATACTACTCTGGCAACGGCAAGCCTAAATCTTTCTACATAATCGAAAAGAATAAGAAGGACGCAGAGTACCACAAATTGTTGCCCTAATTTATTAAGCAAAGTTTTGTAATATAAGATGTGTAAAGAAGTTTGAAGAAAAAAGTTGAAAATCAATTACTGAACAACATAAGTGTCATTTTATTTATTTATGTTGTATCGGACTCAAATGTTTACGTAAAAATATGTTAATTACATTTTTTTAAAGTCACAATACATAATGATCAAAAAATACTGAAATGTAAAAAAATCGAGCATTATAAAACTAATATGTAAATATCATTGTCTCGTTTCAAATATTATTTTGACTGGCCATAGCCTTTGAAAAGATATCAATCTACATACATAGTTGTTTAAAAAATTTTATTTAGTATTTGCACTAAATTGTACATAGTTATCGGTGTCCGAAATATCTATCGAGCATTATGATATGGTAGGATGTCGGTGCGTCGATAATATGATAGGTCTATTATATAATCGACGCACAATTAGATCCTGTATCTATATTGCTACATCTACTGCTGTATCTATATCCATAGACTAAAACACGCCAATAAAGAAGAATCACATTAAATACATTATAATATTGGCGACTGGTACTAAGTGTTACATTACAGAATAAAGTTTATTTCCCTGAAATGTATTGAATTGTCATCGCTCTCTATTTAGTTCTGTCTTGTAAGTGAGTTATTATGGTCCATCAAGATTTAAACTACTTTAAGAGTCAATATAATAGGTTATCTGGTTAATGATCCATTATCTATGTCTCCCCAATCTACCATAGAGAAACTAATGCGTTTTTCTCTTCATTGGTAATAACTTAATTGGTAAACCCAACACCATATCGCTTTTGTTTTTAGGATACACCTAAAACTTTATGACATTTTTAGTAAACCACTTATCGAAAAATATAAAACTGTGCTGAATGAGAATATCATATTTACCATTTTTGTATTACAATACTACGGGGATTTTAAGAGTTACATGTTTTTTATAGAAAAAAAGTAGTGGACTGTTCGTTTTTTTTTTATAACAAGTTACAACATATACTATTCATGTATAGGTAAAATTATTGTAAATCTTCGTAGTCTGCGTCTTGTCATTTGTATAAAAATAAGTTTAAATAAACTGATGGATGGTAACACCCAACTAATATGTCACTTTCGATCAGTCTAAATAAGCCGAAAGCGACGTACAAAGAATATATCTACTCTCTTACGAGCGACGTATTAGCGAATTATATTATTAATGCCTTCCATGAAACGAAACATTTATTTTATTAATAAAAGATAAAAATAGGGATGAACTATGGCCAGTCAACATCCATCGTCTTTTACATTCAGCAGCTCAAACTGATCATCTATATTGAAAAGTTAGAACAAGTTGTATGACACAACATTCGAGGCTGTACATATGGCAGTCTACATTATTGAATATAATGTTAAGGTATATCTTATTATTGTCTGCGTTATATGTAGAATTTGCTTCCGCATTTTAGTGTAAAGAATAATTTATAGGTGCTTAGATATTATAGTAAGACTGCAAAACGAATTTAAATTATTACTTAGATGTACGATTATGCATTTATGATAAAGCAAGAATATTTTTGTTCAAGTAACATAATGTAAATGTCGGTGAATGATAATTAACGTTTTGAGATGTAAAATTGACCTAGTGTTGGTGTACGTATTGTTTCACTGACAGTTTAGGATTTTTTTTGTTTCATAGCAACACACCACATTTATGGCGCGTTGTTCGTGAGATCACTGTGAAACGGCTTATTGAAAAAAAAACGATGCATGCAATAAATGAAGATTGTAACAAGACGATACTAAATGTTTTGCCATGTTATAAATGTTGAATTATTATTACAGTGACAAATTAATCAAGAGCACGTTACGTATTCTTGATTAATTAACGTTCAGAAATAGTAAAATATTCAATTATTGTCTGTTGAGTAAACTAAACGCCTTACAGAACGTAGGCTCTTAGTGTTTTTCAGTTTTTAATAGTTTAATAAGACATTTCTATCTGTAGTATTGATGTTTATGTGTCTTATACTAACATTAAACTTTTTCTGTAGATTTGTCCACATATATATTTGTGATAAATCTATGGCCTCTTGAATCAAACATTAAATCTTGATTGCATGTACACTGTGCATATACACAGAGCAATCAAATTAAAAATATTTGGCTAAAGTAAGCCGCGACAACATTTTCCTGTGATTGTGACCACGTAAGAAAGACAGGTAATCAAAAAAGTATTGGCTTTTAAGTGTCCACTCAGGTAGGTAATAACCAAAAAGATGCCAAGAAGATTGAAGAGTGTGATTTAAATTAAAAAGAATATTGCCTACACCTATGTAGTGCAGTACTTAAAATTACATTTTCTTTATTTGTGTCCAAAACTTACAAAAAATTAAAAAAAATGCACTACCAAAATTAAATCATAATACACCAAAATGTGATTTCAGAAAACATAGGTAGACTTATATAGACAGTCTGTTTCATGTATAGTTTTTTTTTTCATAACATTATAGTATGCAAAGGAGTAATAAGGCGTTCAAGTAAAATATTACATTGGACAGTGAAATTTACGTGCAGATCAGCGTTTATCGGTGCCACGCGAATCGCACGTTCCACGCGTAAAAAAAACTCATAAATCTCTAGTTATATTAACTATCACTCAAAAGAAATGTAAATTATTTTAAGAAATATAATTAAAACATATGGGGAAACGTAATTAATGCTATATTTTTAATTTATGCTACAGTTTATTTTCAATGGCTAATAGTAGAGTAAAGACACTGTAGATAAATGACTATACTATGGAAATACATGTATACACAAAGAACTCTAGTAGAAGTTGTGGAGACTAGTAATGTTCCCCAAATCTCAAGCCTCCTCCAATACGAAGAGTATGAAATTACATTTGTAAATATGACTCAGTATTACTGAAGGCCTAGTGTGAGTTTATTCCAGATCAACTTGCTCTCGACGGCGAGCGCGTTATGCTTATGCGTTGCGGTTGGTGAAGCTTTCAGAGGCCCTAGTAGTTTATTTCACATCTATTTGATCATCACGCTGAGCGCGTTCAGCGTTGCGATACACACCAGGCTTTCTGAACCGCCAAAATATTAAGTTTCTACCCCGGTTCGAAAATATCGTAGATCCGGGGCTGTCTGTACACTTTGGTATTGAAGTCTAATATATAGATGTAAGTCGTAATCATTGGGCTAAGCCATTGCTTTAACTGTATGCTGTAAGTCGTTACGATAAATATAAGTATAATTATTTTGTACAACATCCCTACTTAAAATCTAGAATAATAAATATTTTATTAAAATTACTTTTTTGTTTTTTTTTGGATTTCGTTGGATTCGCACACTGCACTGCTTTGATGACCGCTGCTGTTGTCCTGACTCTTACGACCTTCGAAGCTTAAATCTTCAGTGTATCGTTTGTAGTGCTATAAACAAACTGTTGTGTTATTTTAATATATTTTTCAGAATATTGAAAATATCTGTTGGCGCGTAACAACAGCGTGCAACGCGATAACCGCGACTCCGTCTTCCTTCTTCGACCACTCCATATTTAAAAATGAATTTCTTTTTTATTTTCGGCAAACATACTATTTTTTAAATTAGTCGAACTATATGAAAGAAAGAAAAATCATTTATTTTGTTACACACAAAGGTGAGAGAGGCCAATGTCCAACAGTGGACTACTAAAGGCTGTTGATGATGTTGACACAAAGGTAACATATTAACTTATGAATAAAACAAAGTAAATATTTATTTAATAGCTATATGTCGTGTGTTTCACCTATATGTCGAAAATATAAAATATCTCTATCCAGTTTTCGAAAAATAATAAGATATTGACTGAACTTATGAGCCGACTAGGTATACACCAAGATTAGTGTTTAAGTATTTAAGTATATTTAGACGTAAATTCCAGGAAAAAAGTTATAACTTTTATTGTAATTTAATGGTGTGCTCGAAGCTTAAGAAACGTAAGTTATATAATGCCCTCAATGGTAGAAGTCTCTAAGGCAGACACATATTGGTAGGCTTATTTATCTGTGTTGTAGAAGCCACGGTTAAAAGATAGCTAGCGAGGTGCCATGTATCTCAAAATTATATTATTAATTTTAATATTATTTAGTACAAATCTAAAAAAAACACGAAGATGTTACCATAAGTTAGAAAAGTTCTGTCAATGTTGACTGTCATTGTACTCGTAAAACTTCATTCGTAATCAAGAGATTTTTTTATAAATCCACATAATAGGCTTGTGTCCATTAAGAATAAATATAATGGATAGGGGTTTATAAGGATTAATTATATTATGGAGAAAATAACAAACAATTTTAATTATTAAAAGCGTTAAAGATTAATAATATTTTTAAAAAATAAATTTCGTAAAATGAAACCTTTAGTCACGTGACAGTGAACACCAATCAGAAAGCGTTACGTCACGCCGTGCGAAACTCCAATCTTGTCTTTGACGTTTCGAGTATCACTACCTGTTCTTGATAAAATTTTGGTTTTTAACAATTAATATCAAGTTGATACAGTTTTTGATAATTATAATTTGAAAGAATTAACCACTTGGAGTACAACTTTCTTTTGATTCATTCAGACACTCTTCTATTATCATCTTTCTTTGTTTTTTTAGAATATATGGCCGTTCTGTACTGCTGCATGTTCGTTTTCTTCTGTCTTCTTGACATCCAAATTTACTTGGCATACAACCTGGTTTCATGCTCACTTGTGATACTGTTCCCTTCATATGATACTCCATATAATTAATCATATCATTTGGCAACTAGAATAATAAAAAGAGTATTTTTGTAACATTAATTAGAAAACTAAAATAAAACGTTCACTCCTAAAAGTGAAACAACTTAACCTGAACTCATGTATTTATTATTTAGAAAATAGGGATTCTACAAAACACATCTAGTTTGCTCGAATTAAGTAATAGATTGTATTGTGTGAAATACTTACATCAAAATGATCTTCACAAAAATACATTCTTGAACCTGTTGATAAAGTATGAGCATCATCTCTTCTTGCAAGTTTTAGTCACTTTTTCCGTATTTTTCCATTGTTTGGAACATATATAAATAACTTGTTTGGCGTTTTTATAGTCGTGCTATCACACTGAGGCACTATACAGTACTTATAATATGAGAAATTCATTTTTAAACGATAAAAACCAGCTATAACGTACGAAGACACGATCGCTCTTTGGTTTGTTTCGCACGGCGTGACGTCATTCAAGACGCCATGACAGTCTTGTGCGTTTTGGAACCAAATTGAAATTGGTTTTTTAAAACGCGAAATTTATAATGTAAACGCTCGATTAAAAATAAATAAACCTTTTATTTCGATAAAATGCCTAATAAGCTAAAATATTAGGCAGTTATTGAAATTTTGTCAACTAGCCTATTATTTCCATAATGACATTGCCATAGTGCATTTTAGTTTGCCATTTTAATAAATTAAACTGAATTGATAATATGCTCACCAAATTGCATCTTACTATTATGATGTTTTAAAAGTTTTAGTACAGAATTTGAAGTTCTGCGCTAATATGTACCCACATACACAATAGGATGAGGGTTGCCGCACAATAGGGATGAGATACAATCACAATCACCTGTTATAAATCATATATATAATCACAAATGTGTACAATTTACAAATCACTGCGATTTATGATTATTGAGTTTAGCGCTAGGCCAGACTCGCGGTAGGTCTAAATCTAAAAAAAAACGTAGTCTGATAAAAAGTTATTTTTTTCTATGCTGAAGTTTTTGATGGCATTTATCTTTGTCTAAGTTACTAATATTATTAACTGTGGTATTTTTTAACTATCTTTAGAGGCCAAACCCCAAATCTTTAAGGTGACCTTAAAGATTTGGAGTTTGGCCTCTAAAGGTAGCATATGCATATTAATATTATCTAAAAAAAAAACTGTTACCGCAAATTCTCATTTATAACTATCAGGCACATCACTGATTCCTAGTACATCAGACATAGGTTACTATTTACCTATGGAAATGGAAGAAGTACCATTTATCGCTTGATATCTTGATTATCGCTTACAAATGCTAATCCAATTCGTCTTAGTCAGGGGCGACGTAATTAAGTATAATTTCAAATGTGCTGGACATAGCCCTCCCCCAAGGCTCTCCACAACAACGGCTATTAATTAAACTAAACTAAATAAAATATCTAAACTAAATATAATCTAATATGTTATCAGATTAAATACAAGTATGTTTCATGCATGCCTGCATGCATTATCAGCAGTCTGGTTACATAGCACAGGCTCTTATATTATATTAGTTTCATTTCATTGAACAGTGATTTCGGAGAGCATTTCTTTTGCTCTCTGAAATCTCGCGTGATCAACTGTAAAAGTTCTTAAATTATTATATGGTTCTAAAGTTATTAAAATGGACGAAATGACCACCTATGAAATATGAATAAATAAAATAAACTTCTTTAAAAAAAAAAAAATTCAATTTATATGAAACATAAATTAATTTCATTTATATTTACCTACTTATGTAAATAATTTAAAAAAGCGCCATCTGTTGGCTGCTACACAGATTACACTGCATTAAACTTACTATCCATCAAATCTTGATCTTACTTTTGCCGCTAGATGTCGCTATTCGGTTCTATTGGAACTGTTTTATCCACAAAGATGTCACTAGATGCGCGGCAGCTTGCGCGATTTATAAAAATCGTTCTAACCAAATGGTATCCAACACAAATCCATAATCGTCGCCCATAGCAAAAATGTCAGCTGCATTCGCGAGCAGCACCGATAGTAAAATGAAAAGTAATAATGATAATATAAGGACAGTTGATAGTGTTAAAAAGAAAGGTTTGAGTGATAAAAATAAAAAAAGGGCAAATAACGCGAGTGGAAATAGCACGGTTATTAAAGTTAAAAGTGTTATTCCTAGACGAAGGTGAGCATTTATATATTTTAATTCAATTCTATTATTTAATTGTATTTGTTAAAATAAAATTGTAATGCCTAATTCATATATAAATTAATATAATAAGTTTTACAGTCAACAACATAATAATTAGGGAACGGAGTATTGCATATGCGCTCCACTTTCCAGATAGGTATAATTAACAAGCGGCAATCTAAAAATATCTAGGAAAATACAAATAGACCATTGCATTGTATACCTAGTTTTTGAACGAATGTTTGCGCTGTTTAATTTCCCGCCAATGTTTTTTTTACGAAAATAAATTATGCTGTGACTAACCATCCAATCCATATAAATATCCTATTAACCATTATTAGTACATTAGGTACAAGTTAACAAATAAATTGAAATATAAGATAAGGTTTTGATAAGAAATTTAGCCTTATCGTAGTTTATTGTATATATACGAGGAATCAGTTTATATCCGTGCGTATCGTCCGTAGGTGATGAAACTGCGTTTGTAATGCGGTGCCAGTTTATTATAAAAAAAAATGTATATAAGATATATTTTTAGATTATAACGTAAATATTGAGACGTGATTGCTTATAGATGGGTTTGAAAGTGACTTCTGCTTGTTGCACTGCTAGAAGGGATTCGTACTTACTAAGATATTCCACTTGGTGTTAAATACATGTTTGAAAATGGATTTTGCACGGGATATATTATATATTATGATCTCGTAGAATGTAGATATATATAATAACATATACTGAATAATCTTTATAAATAGAAATCAATGTTTGTATGTTTGTCCTCTATGCATTCCGAAACCAATGATCAGAAATGTAAATAATCTTAAGAAGGGTGTTCTAGAGACGCCCGCGTGGTTTCCTCGCTCAAATGATCTAAAAGTATATGTGTTTTTCATTATTTCTTTATACTTTACGTGGCATTGGAGAGAATCAATATTTTTTGCGGACAACTTCGTCAACTATTTAACTTAAGAATAAAAAATTAATATAATCTCGTTTCGTTGATTTCAATCGAGTTTACTGTTAAAAAAGAAAAACACGTAACATTTATTTACGATAATGTTAAGTTGTCTTATTACCTAAATGTGGTGACGGATTAAGAATACAGAGTGTCACCCCACCCCTATTCATCCCGTGGGTGTCGTAAGAGGCGACTAAGGGAAAAAACTACGCAGGACAACAGCACTGCAGAGAGAAGGAAAACTTGACACAAACCCTATACCAACCCGTCTGGCCAGCGTGGTATAGTAGGCCAAAACCTCCTTTCTAAGGAGAGGCTTATGTCCAGCAGTGGACTATTAAAGGCTGTTGATGATTACCTAAATTGTTACATCTTTATAAATCACGTGTGTATTTCGGGTCATCCCTAATAGTTAAGGACTTGACAAGTCATCGATGTCAGGCTCTGCAGTCAGAGTTCAGTACCTGACACCAACGAGGACGGTCGTCTCACCCCTTGATAAGAGTCTCCCACCTGGTTCTAAATCCTTTATAAATATGACTTCCAGTCACGAAAGTTTTCGTGTATTGTAAAAGACACCACTGGGGTGTCGTTTAAATTTTCTTTTGAAAACGACAACACCTTAATGAAGTTCTAACACAAAATTTATGCATTTATCGATGTAAATTATTTTTCATTCGTAACATTACGACCATGGCCATTTTAAAAACCTCTTGTCAGAAGTAGCTTCAAAGTGAGCAGATGAACTGAAACAAAGATACGGTAAAAAAATGAATAGTTATTGTACAATTATTAGATCAAGTTTTATACATTTATTTATTTATTTTTTGTTGTAATAGATACAATCGTTATGTTTTACGAATCCCTGTGAACTCAACCAATTTTAACGTTATCATTAAAAAGTAACTAATTAACTAACGGATTGTTTTATTTCACGTTATACATCACTAGCCAGCAGTGGAATTGTTAACAAAAGCAAAACCACACCACAGTGGTGTCGTTTACAATACACGAAAGTTTTTATTCTGATAAAATACTGCTAAAGTTCGTTCTATTTATTTCCTTTTATCGAATACGGGTTATACAAGCAGACGGGTCACCTGATGAATAGGCAATCACTCCGGTTCAGCCTGCCTGTTTGTGCCGAAGCATATCGTGTATGCTGTATGCACTTCGAAATGATCGTGACACAGTCACACATCATCACATCAACGGCCTTTAGTAGTCCACTGCTGGACATAGGGCTCTTCTTAGAAAGGTTTTGGCCTACTATACCACACTGGCCATACGGCTTGGTATAGGGTTTGTGTCAAGTTTTCCTTCTCTTCTGTTCTGTTCCCTAAGTCGGCTCTTACGACAGGATAAATAGGGGTGTTGACGCTCCGTATTCTTAATCCGTGACCACACGGACATAGTCAGACAGAATAAATCTATGATGAGTCATAAAATACAATTGGCAAAAGACCCGTCACTCGGGTAATTGGCCACCACTCTTGTTAAGTCCAAATCATTGTTTCAAATGACCCGGTTCATATTTTGTGTGATATGAAATGACACTCTGGTATTCACCTTCATCCTGTTTATTTATTACATTAGCTCCAACAGCATCATCATGTCTATAAATAAATATTCAAACCACCAAGTGATAGTTTTCGTTCTTATAATCCATAATATCCTGTCCGAAAAGATTGCTATCATAGCATACAATTTAGGTACATAAACACATTTACACTCAAAACTATCAAATTATATGAATTAAGTGATTCCCATCTTCTCCTGTACTTACTCTGACATCGGTTCCAGTTAGGTCTAAAAGAGCTGAGATCCTTTTTTCCTATTTTAGAAATTTAAAAGGCGATCCAGCCTTAGAATAAGTACCTGGATGACAGAGCTATGCTCGGTATTTTTCTTTGGGAAATTTTCTAAAAATGAAACCTAACTAGATCGAAGATACACCTCAATAATAATTACGTCATTTAAAAAGGTATGGCTACAGTTAGAAAGGCTTTTTTTTCAGATATACTCAACTATACTTCATCACGTTCCATATACCTACCTTGTATCTTGTATAGATGGTATGAAACAATGAAACGAACTGTAACAATTGTTGTCCTTAACAATAATATTTGGGTATGTTATCAGTAGAGCTAAAGTTTTTACTTGAACGATTTAATACAACATCCTCACTGTTTAAAAACTTTTGAACAAAGTATATTTGGACAATGAATAAAAAAGAAACTCAACATCGAATCGAGAATGAGTAACTAAACGTATATAGGAATAAAATGAAGATACATTGTTACATTTTGTGCACCAGAAACTCCTTACCTACAAGTTTACGGTTTAAATAAACGGTGTTATGAGTATTTGTGGACAAGGTGTTGTGCTTGTTTGCCACCTGTGTGTCCGCCAATAAGCACTAAATCAATATTTGATCTCCTGCGTGTTATTAACAGCCCCTTATAGTCCACGTCTGGATATATGCCTCTCCTTAAAAAGTAGGCTTCGTCTGCGCATTAAATTTTGTTTTTTTTTCTTGCATTTAGGTATTATTTTTAGTAGTAATTTTGCTAGTATAGCCTGTAGATAAATATTTTTTATACTTTTTGTTACTAGGTTAAGTAAATAAAATTATGTTTAGTATTATAAAAATATTATTACCGTCTACCGGCCACTCTACTTCGTTTACTTCCACAGCGACATATCAACCCTAATCGCATTTACGAATGGATATTATAAGCAAAGGGGTGTACGTTGTGGGGTTGACAAGTGAGGGGGCAGAAACTTTAATTTCAACATATTAAAAAAATCATGAACAAACTGTTTGGTCGTTACAATCATATTATTGTCTTTGACCAGACGTTTTACATACCTACATATTTAATAAGTATTTGTAATGTGTTTGTTTTGTCTTTTTTATACAAAAAGGAGGAAAAAAGGCGGCGGTACTCGATTTCCTTGTATTCTTTTATTTACTTTAATGTCCTCCGACATGAAAATTTAAAAATTATGAAGCTCCCTCCATAATCTTTACATTAATTTGGAAAATCTATTATTTGAGATGGTATACTTGCCGTTATGTCTCATTTAAATGTGAAAGAAATCCTGTCTCAAAAATAAATTGCGGCTGTGAGGGTCTTCATGCTGCAAAACATCCCAAACGAGACGAAGTGGGTGGTGGGCTACGCACATCTCAAATTATATTATTATTTTAAATGTATTATTAATTAGTAATCCGTGTGGTGACGGATTAAGAATACAGAGTGTCACCACCCCTATTCATCCCGTGGGTGTCGTAAGAGCCGACTAAGGGAAAAACTACGCAAAACAACAGCACTGCAGAGAGAAGGAAAAGGGTAAGGAGAGGCTTATGTCAAGCAGTGGACTATTAAAGGCTGATGATGATGATGATGATGGTAAATATGTTTGCGTAGGTAATTGGTCTTAAATCTGCAATGTTTCAATAGAGTTATATTGAATTCCTAATTATTTATTAAGCTGATTGAAAGCTGTCAGAGACCCTCAGTATTACTTATTGTGCATCGCGCTTGGCACCGACTTCGAACAGATAAGAAGGTATCTATTGGTATTATAATGTTACCTGTTATATTGAGGGTCGCACTTTTTTTTCAATTACATTTGTAATTATTTTTTTAATTTTTGGTGATCTCTGTTGGTATTGTTTGAAGTTGGTTCAAACTTTTCTAAAAAAGGATTTATTTTACCATTTTTAGTGTTCGAAACGTTTGTAATGAGTAGATACTTTAATTAAAAGACTACGTACCTACTGTAATGTTTATATTACCAAACTGTAGTAGGTATTTTAGATTATATTATATATTTAGTTTATGTTAAATGTGAACCAAAAAAGATATTTCTTTTCTACATTACTTAATTTTCCATCATTGGGAGTGGCAATTTTTCTTCACATTTTAATGGAACCAAAGAGGAAATATACCTTTCCAAGTACAAGAAAATGGGAGAAGCATATGTCCAGCAGTGGACTGCGATATGCCGATTATGATGAAATAAAAAA